AAATAGATTTGGTGAAAATGCAATTGTTAAAAAGACACTTAAAGCTGGAATTATGGGGCAATCTAAATATTATTCATCACCAAAAGTAAGGATCATTTGTCCCCTTCTGTGTTTACAATTTTTTTTTAATTTTACTAGTGTGATAAATGGATCTGGGGAACCAAGAAAATGACCACTCAATCTACAGTATTTGAGCCAGGCTATAAGTCCTGCTGAGAATTTATTCTAATGCAAATAAATGGTTGCCATGCCTTACTCTGAGTGGTCAGAGCTTGGCCTCATATTACTTACTACATAGCTGGTTACTCAAAGTGGTCCACTTGATAAGCAGAATGCACTTGGGAATACCTAGTGTAACCTTGCATACATATTTGTATTTCATTATATGTATGTTGGCATTTGAAGATACTGTCTCAGATATGGTGGTAGTGAAAAATTATTTTTAGAATGCAGAAAACGAAACTGTGCCGCTCATCTTCTACCATACTCCGCATAAACGGGTCATGGATGTCAAAATGAACCCTGATACTCTGACAATGCCAAAGGACATGGGAGAGAAAATACTCCCACTTCTAAGCACAGGTAAGGGTTTTCTGAATAGGACTCTCAGCTAATGGGAAATGAGACTAAAAATTAACAAAAAGGAACTCATGAAATTAAGACTTTTCATTAAAGGAAAAGAAAATATCATTTAAATGGTAGCACAGAGAATATGAGAAAATCACTGGTGCAACAGTGACATGGAGTTAGTGTTTAATTAATTTCCTTCTGATCTGCACTATAGGAAGGAATTAGTACAGCACACATAGTACACAGTAGCTGGTCAGAAGACTGTAGCTGCAAGGGTCATGGCCCTTTAAGATTATGCTACTAGTAACTGCTTTGTAAATGTTTCTGTTTATACAAATAGATCTCTTCAGCTGTCAGCCTTGGTCAGAGTTTCTTCTTTCTGTAGTAGGCAGCAGTAAATGCACAGCCTGGAAACTTCAAATGCTGAAGTAACCATGAACGCTTAAGTCCTAAATGGGGCATGAAGTCCAGCCACTCACCATAGATTTAGGGAGCATACAGAAATAGGTCCTGCATATCATGACTGAGGATTAGGGGACCTGCTGTGAAATGCTGTCTTTTGGACATGACATAGCCATAGTTCACTCACAAGAGTTATGATCACCTACAGCTTCAGGTAAACATCTTCAGTACTAACCTTGTATATATCTATCTATCCTGAACCAGACAGCTGGAAGAAAAAGCTCACTATGCCTTTGTCTTTGGAAAGAAAATTAAAAAGGAAGATAGAAATTGACCATTGGTATTATTTATTAGTTCCACCTTTCTTTACCCGTCTGCCTCCCAGGGAAGACTGTGTAATTCCTAGTCTCACAAATTAATGAGTTTATTGAAGTTAATTAACAGGAATATAAGTAAGGGATTACTTTCAGGAATATGAATAACTCATATGCAGTAGTATCACAAAGGCTCATATTAAAATGGGTGACTCTTTAAAACTAGAAACCTGAGTATCTCTACAAGACTCATCTCTTCACCTGTCCTACTCACTACCTATATAACATTGGGAGGGGAAGGGCCTTGTTAATCTTTTAAGTTTCAGCTTTCCCAGCCATGGTCTAATGCCCGAGTCTTGCCAACCTCCTCTGTCTTTCCATAGAACTTTCTGAGCCTTAATGAAACAGTCTTACCCAGGGAAGGGCACACAAGTTGGATATCCAATATCATACATGCTAGCTATATAGAATGATCAGTTTACAGTTAGCAAAATACAACTGCACGCATAAACACATGCATGTAACAATGATTAATGAAAAGAGATGTCATAAATTAGACAAGGATTAAGGAAGAATGTAAGGAGGATCTGAAAATATGAAAGGGAAGAGAAAATAATGTAATTATCTCAAAAATAACAGAAAAAATTCATGTGAAAGAAGGGAAAATTGTTACACAACACTCCACCCCTTCTTTCAAATGTTAGTTGTTTCCACAAAATCACATTCTACCACGGAGCTCTGCAAAGGTACTAAAGTCACATGCCGGTACTGACATCCCTGGTGAAGCAACCTTTTTATTTTTCACCTCTTCTGTAAGCACAGCTCCATCGTGCCCAGTGAATTGGCCTTAAAGCTTTGCATCTCTCCTTCCTTCATCATCTCCCAGTACATGATATTTGTGAGACCTCTGCTTGTGATAACCAAGCATCCCAATGCTTCCTTTGAGCCAGTCCATCAGGAAATGATTTCTCTCAGATTTCCTTAGATTGTGTAGCCTTTATTTCAAGGAGATCTGAGTAAGTACATGACTCACTTTCCCACTTCTCTAGCACTCAGATTGATCCCATCAATAGTTTACCATCTCATGAGCCAAGCTGTGGCAGGAAATTTTCTTGATTTTTTGAAAGTCTTTCCAACTCAAGCAGTTGAGAGATATTGGACTCCCTGACTAAGACAGTATCCTTCCCTTTGCAGGCCATTTTAAGGCTCTGAAATGCAAGTTCAAACCTAGATTTTCCTTTTCTCTGTATAAAATGTTCAACCTAAGTGACAGGTACCTTCCATCACCTTTATTCCAAATAGAGAATTATAATTGTGTGTCAGTGTATAGATTTTAGGACTAAGACATTTTTAACAAATAATGCATTTTTATATATGATCTTGATTTTTTTTTATCTTCCTCAAACTTTGTTTTATGATTAAATCTACTTTCTGGCTCTGTCCACATATTTCCATTTTCATTGAGAAAACTCTACAGATTTTACCTCACAACAAACATTTATTTAGTCAGAAAAAGGTTTTGGGAACATGACAGAGAACTAATTGTACCAACCCATTGTAACCATTTCCTCTAAATTACATTTGTCACATAAGGAAACAAAGATGAGCAGTTTTTTTAATTGTTTGTTTTTTGCATCTCTGTATGCTTCAAGAGGAGACAGGGACAAATTGTTGACAGCAACCTGTGTTTCTCACACTTCAAATTTTTCCAAGTATTTAAATGACTTAAAAAGTACTCCTATACTTTTTAATACAATATTTTTAAATGTGTTGCTCTGAATTACATCTGATAACTTTTAATATGATGGTATGTATTTTCCTGTGCAAAGGGAAATGAATTGGTTTGACAATATGTCAGAACACATCAGAAACACTTAATTTTAAACCTCCTCTGGTATTTATCTTAATTTGTTGCTACAAATCTGTCTGGGATAAGGGTTCTAACTGAAGTACTATGTTTTCTAAAACAGTTCTGTTTTTCAAAAGTTTATATTAGTAGTAGAGCGTAAGCCTTAGTTTTTTATTTGAATTCCGTGGTGAACTGTTTCTTATCACATTACAATCAATAGGAAAAGTGAGCTCAATTTGTCATAAAGAATTTTAATCTGTACATGACGTTCTTAAAGAGCCAATGCTATTGTAAGCAGGACCCAGAAGTATACTCTCCAGTGTCCTTCCCTGAAGGAGCTTGCACCTGAAGAACTACATCTCCTTTTCATTCCCAGTCATTCCTGCTAACTAGTTCTGGGCTTCAGGAAAATCGTTTAAATACCCTTGGTTTCAAGCATTTTCATTCATAACAGAAAATTTCCAGCTCCTGTTGCTTTGAGACAGTCACTGTGCTAATGTTCTGATTTCTATTGCTCTTGTTGGACTAGTTTTCTTGAAAAGGGAATGCTAAAAGAAGATAAATTTACAACGGAAAACAGTTTCTTACATTCAGATGTTTAAGCCAGTGGAGGAAAAGAAGATCCTTCAATGCTGTTGCTCTGGGTTTTTCATCAGCACTGTTTCCCTTAAACCATGTGAGCACTGGTGAAACAAGGAAAACAGCACAGCTTGCTGGTAAACCCTTGAATCTCCTGTTTATTGTTTAGGCTATTTGATTTGGGTCCCATGTACAAAAGAATAAACGAACAATGAAATCCCAACTTCCAGACCCAACACCTGAAACCTCATCCCATTTCCAGTCCTGTTTCCTCTTGATTTTGTTTACTTTTTTAAAATGCCAGGTTAATCATTATTTTTATTATTATTTTTAATTCTGTACAATGTATGTATGTGGGTATGTTCACACGAGTGAAGGTGAGGCCAGAGAGGCCAGAGGCAATGAATTTTCTGGAGTGGGCAGAAGTCACAGGCAGTTTTGAACTGTTTGGGGAATGGATCTTGGGTCCTCTATACTCCATACAGAGTAATCCATCTTAACCTTGGAGGCATCTGTTCAGCCCCTGCTTTCAGCCTTATTAAAATTGCCAGTCAGGTCCAGCAGGGTAGCACACATCTATAATCTCAGGCACTCAGGGAGCTGAAGAAGATGACTGTAAATTCCAAGTTAGTCCCAGCTGCAAATCTCTGGGAGTTTGAGGCCACTTGGTTTACATAGAGATTTCTGTGAGTTTAGAGGGCGGCCCTGTCTAGGTATAAAAATCCAGGGGCTATGTAGAGAGACCCTGCCTCAAATGATAGTTGATAGATAGATAGATAGATAGATAGATAGATAGATAGATAGATAGATAAATGGATAAATAGATGATAGATGACAAATGATAAATGAAAAGGTTAAATAAACGTGGACATAAATTTAATTAATTTGGAACAAAACAAGCAAGAAACAGCAGTGCTGATGATCTGGCCTACAGTCCTAAGCATCACTCTCGCCCTCAGGGCCTGAAGCCCTAGGCCCCATCCTCTCAGTTTTGCATAAACTGGGTGTGCTGGTCCATGCCTATAATCACAGCACTCAGGAGGTGGAAAGAGGAAGACCAGCCCTACTCCCTCCACTACACACCGCGGTTTGGAAAGTGGCCCCAACACTGGATGTGTGCTCTACTGTACCAAGTCCAGTGTTTCTATGCTCCCCTCCCAGACACACCCAGAAGAAACTTTATTCAGGGTGACCCAGAGCCCACACAAGCCCAGATACAAAAAAATTAACAATGATGATATTCTTTTTTGTTGTTATTGCTGGCAGTTTTTGTTCTTAAGTACCTCCAAGAAGTATGCTTTCTTTGATCAGAATACCTTAAAGATAATCAAGTATTTTTCAGTCAAAATAGGGAAACTAGCACATGTAAAATTTTCACCGTTTTTGTTTCGTCTAACTAAGAAGCTCCTCAGACATAACCTGAAATACTAAAATGGATAACAAAAGCTTGTGAACAGCCTGTTTGCACTCCCACCTGTTGTGACTCTGTCTTTCACAGTCACTGAACTATCTTACACCTTGGTGAATTGTAGAAAACCTACGAGAAAGACAGAATGCTCATCTGTACATGGAAATAACAGGTCACTGCCTATACATTGTTGCTTTTTGATTTGCTTATATTTTTATGTGTGCATGGATGTGAGCCCTGTGTGTGTGTATAGTTTTTGTTTTATTTGTTCATTTGTTTGTTTTTTTACTCATTGTGGGCCCGCCACTCAGCTCTCAAATAAATACACAAGGGCTGATTCTTACTTTTGATGCCCAGACTTAGCTTGGCTTGCTTCTAGCCAGCTTTTCTAACAAATTATTGTAGCTTGAGTTTTCCTGTCTGGCCCACAGTCAGGACAAATCTCTGTCACCTGCCAGTCCCACAACCACTCAGACCCAACCAAGTAAACACAGAGACTTATATTGCTTACAAACTGTATGGCCGTGGCAGGCTTCTTGCTAACTGTTCTTATATCTTAAATTAACCCATTTCTATTAATCTATACCTTGCCATGTGACTCGTGGCTTACCGGCATCTTCACATGCTGCTTGTCCTGGTGGCAGCTGGCAGTGTCTCCCCCTATCTGCCTCCCACTTCCCAGAATTCTCTTCTCTGCTTGTCCTGCCTATACTTCCTGCCTGGCCACATCAGTGTTTTATTTATATAGAGCGATATCCACAGCAAATTATCTCATTTCTCTTTAACTGTTTTGCTTCTGGGCTTTTTGCTTTTCTTTATTCTATATATCTTTCTTTCCTTCTTACTCTGTGGCTGACTATGTAGCTAGGTGGCTGGCCCCTGGCGCTCTCCTCTCCTTCTCCTTTTCTCTATCCTCTTCTCTCGAGCCTAGATTTCTCCTATTTATTCTCTCTGCCTGGCAGTCCCACCTATTCCTCTACTGTATAACTACTGGTCATTCAGCTCTTTATTGGACCAGTTAGGTGTTTTAGACAGGCACAGTAACACAGTTTTCCAGAGTTAAACAAATGCAACACATCTTTGCATCAGTAAACAAATATTCCACAGCATAAATGAATGTAACGCATCTTAAACTAATACTCCACAACAATAGGGCAGGCACGTGTGATATGTGAGGTGGGGGGCAGGTGGCATCCAAACTTGGTGTTGGGTGAGGGGCAACAGCAGCTGATTTTTAATTCTTTGTATCTTCCGCTGTTCTCATACTCATAATCATACAGCTTCATGCTCTTGAGAGCTTGGATTTAAAGGCATGGTCTTCCATGAAACCATGTATTTCTTTAATATGTGAAACTTTCAGTAAGATTACAAAAGTTTACATATCATAAATTTGTGGAGGGAAAATTTCAGTTTATGTAACTTGCATATTAATTTTCAGATTTGACTGACAAAAGTACTGGAAATTTAAGCATCCAACTGTACACTACCAAAGAAACAACAGTATTTCAGCCTGTGTATATTAAGCTTTTTCTCTAGTTATTTATTGTTCTTGTAACTGAAGTTAGTTGGTAGTAGTTAGTGAATGTATTAAACAAAACCAGCAATGTTGATAAACATCTGTTGGTACACAATTACTTCTTACAGCATACATTTTTCTCTGTATGTTAATATTTTGTGTTAAAACTCTGCCTACAGAACACTCAGCATGACAGTATATGAAATATGTATGCTTTTTATAAGCAATAATAATGGAGGAAAATGCAAGTGTGCCTCAGTGGGAGGATATATGCCTTTGTATATATGTAGTCTTGATTAGAATCCTCAGTACATATATAAGTGATATAGATTGATGGATAGATAGATGATAGACAGACAGACAGACATGGTGACCTACTGAATTTGTTATTTTTCTGTCACTGTGACCAAGTATCAGACAGAAACAAATTAAGGATTGAAGTACTTGTTTCAAAATTAAATCCAAAGATTGTGATTTCAACGGATTTTGTTAATGGTTACTAGGCCCTGAAAAAATGAGAACAACATTATGGTGACAGTTTGTTCTCTCTGTTTCATACTTATGGTTCAAGATGTGAGCTTTCAGCCTCCTGTTCCAGCCGCCATGCCTGCTTGATGCCCTCACTCCGACATAACGGACTCGAAGCCTCTGTAACTACAAGCCAAAATAAACAATTCCTTCTATGTGTTGCCTTGGTCATGGTGTTTTATCACAGCAACAGAAAAGTAACGAATATGAGAGGTCACTAGACCTTTAGTCACCATTCTCTTCCCTGAAAACCTCAGACGTTTGCATTAAACCCACTGCAGCTCTGTTTCTGTCTCTGTATCTGTCTCTCCCTCTCTCCCTCCCTCCCTCTCTCTGTCTCTGTCTCTGTCTGTCTCTCTCTCTCTCTCTCTCTCTCTCTCTCACACACACACACACACACACACACACACACACACACACACACACACACACACACACACACACACACCAGGAATCGCTGCTTCATCTTTCTTTTTAAAAATATTCCCAAACTTGCTGAAGTATCATCCTAATATATCAACAGACACACTCCATATTCCTGACAGGCCTCAAGAGGAAACGTCAATATGATATTGGCATAAAACTTCAACTAAGATAAATTTCCCAATAATTTCATGTAGAACTGGGTGACAAAACAAAGTTATGACTAACTAAAATGAGAACTTTTTTTTCATAGACAACATCCTGAGGCACCCTTCTCCAAAATGAGAGTAATTTTGTAAATTACAATGGTCATCATTGTTGCCGCAGTTTCCCACATAACATATAATACCCAATGCATTCAACTAATTTACCACATTTAATGATGCCTTCTCAAATATGTGCCCCTTTTAAAATATTGGGTACTATGTTACTTATATACATACATACATAATGGTGATATTTTATTTGTATTAAAATGTTATTTGTATGTTAATAAATAAAGTTGCCCAGGGTCAGAGCTATTAGCAAGCCATAGGAAAGCAGGGCAATGGTGGCATATGCTTGTAATCACAGCACTTGGTAGGCAGAGCTAGGTAAGTCTCTCTGTGTTCAGGGATACAGCCATTATTGGATACACATGCCTTTAATCTCAATACCAATCATGGAAAACCTGGAGGTCTATACAGACAGGCCGTGACGAGGTGGTCATGTGGTTGGGTTTACAACCAATGAGAAGGCAGAACAGAAATTCTATATAAGGACTTTAACACAGGAAGTAGCTCTGGTTCGGAGAGGTAGGACCACCACAGGAGGAAGGGTAAGGTTTTAGCTCTTAGTTCTGACCTTTTGGCTTTCTTCTTTGCATTGGTTCTGTGTTTCTTATTTAATAAGAAGGTTGGTTACATCTACAATACATGCCATATAATATCACTTAGGGCCAGAATTTACCAGAAACAGAGCTGTCACAATATACAATATGGGTGACATATAGTGTATTGATGTGATAAACTATAGGAAAAAAGAAAAGTGGTATGTCCACACCATTGGACCTGCAAAAATGGGAACACATGGGAGGGCACCCAGGGAGGGAAACTGGTGGTATTGGGTACACATATCCCCTTCTTTTCCCTGTCCTGCAACCCTGAGAGTGGGTGCACATGGTGTAACATAGTGCTTCCCCCACTAAGAACCTCCAACTCCACACATCAAGCTGATGGCCCAGTGTGCCCTCTCACCAGACTCAGAGCAAGGAGGTGTGGGACACAGTGGTGACAGAGCAAATGCTCAGACCTCCAGACACTGGGGACATACAGAAAGCAATCAAGGCGGACAGTCCCAGGCATTAGAAAGATCCCACATCCCCACAGATCATAGCATGCCTTTTCCTTAGAAATATAAAGATACATTCATCACTGAGGGTGAGCTGGACCCAACCTGATGAGCTCCCATCACCAACCCAGGATGACAACCAGCCACAGGCCACTGTTAGTAAGCAGGAGTGTCAGACTGGGAGCAAACCTATTTTTGATGTTACCCAGAGGACACAAGGAAACAACCACCATCACCACCACCCATGTCCAAAAGGCAAGGCAGTTGGGTAAAGAGACTCCTCTGGATCAGAGGAGACTAGACACAGCAGAAGGAACCTAACTTCAACAGGACATGGGAGATCTGAGTGGGAGGCTCAGGCCCTCTAGCTACCTCCTCCTGCCAGGTCACTGTCATCAGGTGTCTTCGTGGCTGTGAGTCCTAGGTATGAAGCTGTCTGGTGCCTCTTGTTAGGTTGCTGTAGGGGGTACCAACAGACATCCAGACCTACAGCATCCTCTCTACATAGTCCCGGCTGTCCTCGAACTTGTTATGTAGACCAGGCTGGTCTCAAACTCCTAGACCATCTGGCTCTGCTTCCCAAGTGATGGGATTAAAGGCATTCACTATCAGTGTACACTGTTTAGACCAGGGATTTTGCCTTCCTTCCCACAGAGGTTACCACATCCTGTGTCCTCATAGGATCTCTCCTCTGGCAAGGCAGCTTGGGAACTGAACAGTCCCAGAGTGCTTCCTCCACACCCCCTGGTTCCCTCCTATGGACTCTCTTGAATCCTCTCCTTGGCACCTCTAAACTGGTCACCCTGAGGTTGTGCCAGGCACTATGGATCACAGGCAGGCATGCCCAAGCCCAGCTGCCCTCACCCTGGGAATGAAAAGCTAAGACAGTTAGTCTCTGTGGGGCCAGCACTTGACTCTAGGGACCAGCCAGCAGCTAAGAATTTATTATTATCCAGCTATTATCCCCAACCCCCGACAGGGACAAACCTCAAAACCAGTCCTCACAAGTAGTGAGGATATAGCTCCACAGGTCCCAGAATGGAAGGGAAGAGGCACAGGTGGAAACCAGAACGGATTATCTCTTTATTTTTTGGAAAGTAAGTTGGTTGCATTAACAAAACCACATCTGCCAATGTGTGCTGACAAACCACGTGTTAGGCTCTAAGAAAAGTCACCCTGAGCCACTGTCCTAGCCCTGCTAGCTGACAGGCAAGCCACTAAAGCCTAGGGTCCAGGAACAGTACAAAAAAATAACAAAAGTGAATTCACTGCTTTTTCTTCCAAGTTTTGAAACATAATAGTCAAAACTATAAAATGAGGAAGCATCACGTAAGAAGTGTTAACCCTATGGCAAATACAACTTGTAAAGACTCAATAAATTATATATACATAGATACAAACTTCTAGCATCTATTAACATCTGAACCTTCATGCAAGACCATCCCATCCCTGTGCACAGGCTCCTTACACAGCGATTAGAAGAATCTATGTGAAAATACAAACTCACCTTGAAATAAAAAAACAAAACAAAACAAAAACCTCCCAAAGAAGGGGCCTACAGAAATCTAATCACTGAAAAAGGGTCAGAGGAAATAAAACGTGCTCATTGGAGCCTGCTCTAACTGTGAGGGCTCTTGAGCTCCCAGGTGCCACCTCCAGCCTCGGTGTGGGTCAGATGCACATTCTCAGCAACACCCCTAAGTCCAGTACAAGCCTCTTCAGCTATTAGTAAGTTACAACTTAAAATTCTGCCACACTCTAGCTGAATTCTATAAACCTATATTGGGAGATTGGGGGTTCTGGGGTTAATAATAGCTCTACAAACGTGAAGGGCCAGGTACAAATCAAACTGCAGTGCCAGAAAAGCCCCTTGCTTCTCAACACACTCTTGCCATTTCACTGATGAGCCCCAAGGGGTATACTGCTCCCGAGCCTCAGTTTTGCCCTCCTCCACATAGGTATAGACCTATGTGCATATATATCACACACAACATCTACCTGTATAAGGGTACATTTCTTTCTGGAATAAACTTTTCTGATAGAAGTTAATGACTCCCAACTTCAGATATCCATAATTTCAGTCTCTGAGGGGCAAGGTGGGAAGGTGGAAGCCTGGGGATGGGGAGCTGTGACTCACTCCAGGCACAAGGTATCATGCAGGAGGGAGGATCACCACATTGGGCAGAGCTTCCCTGCAGGATCAGCTTTGGGTACAAGACTAAAGCACACCCTGGACTCAAGAGTCCAGCTCTCTCTGCAATGGTCCCTGCAAGGTGACAGTGGGGAACAAGGGAGCCAGAACCACAGGATTGCATGGGGTGGGCCCTCTCATATTCTACATTTGGTGTTCCTGGCCCTGGCCAGTCAGCAATGCATGGTCCCAAGGGGATGCTGCACCCAGGAGCCAAAGATGCATATGCACGTGTGCGTATGTGTGTACACACACACACACACACACACACACACACACACACACACACACACCAAGTCCCATCATTTTTCATCCTTCACACTGGTCCAGCTGGGGTCCACCATGCACCAACAGTAGCAGGGTGAGCTAGAGTCCGCATAAGCATTAGCTGGAACTTGGTCTGTGGGACTCTTTGTCCCTCACATCTGAAGTGTCCAATTCCTGAGTTGGGTTGGGGGCAGCAGGTCGTGGGTGAACAGTCATCTCTAAGCAACTGGGGTTACTGGTATCCTCGCCACCTGGCAAGTACTGCTCAAAAGGCATCGATAGGTCCAGGTATACCTGTTGGTGAAAAAGGCTATAGGACCGTACCTTAGCATGCACCTCCTTGATCCCATAGCCATCTGTATTCAGGCTGTACACCTGAGGGTTCATCCCGCCACTGGACTTGAAGGAACAACATGCACAGGAATCAGAGGAGGCAGAGAGGGCGGGACTGAGTGGTACTCACATTGGTTGAAGTCACAGTAAGGATGCCATCCAAATCCTCTACCAGAAGCTTGAAGGTGGGCCTCTGTGAAGGCACTGCATGCCAACATTCCCGCATGATAACATACCTGTACCAAGTATGGCTGTGGTCTCCTGGTCTGCTGCCCTTCCCTACCAGCCCTCTACTCATCCCAGGGACCCTGATAGGAATCCAGCCACTCCCAGGGACGGGATAGAGGAGTAAGGAATGCTTTGCTCACAGGTCGTGTGTGCAGTTGGCAGGCTTGTCCATTCGGTAGCCCTCTTTCAATAGCTTGAAAAGGTCTTCCGGTGGGATGCCAGGATATGGTGAGCCCCCCAGTGTAAAGATCTCCCAGAGAAGGACTCCAAAGGACCAGCTTCAAGGGAGTGAGGGTAAAGGGCCTATTACTCCTGGCCCATTACTGCAACAGTCCTACACCAGGACATGTCAACAATGGGCAAGGTGGGGCACCAGGATGAGAGGAATGCCAGGGTTATGCTGTCAGCCCAAAGGAGGGGGCAGAATAGAGCCTGAGAGGACCAGGACCCTAAAGGTCGTGATACGTGTGACTTGGGTCTTGCTGTCCCCACTCTCTACCCCCATCCTATGTTGGGACACATACACATCACTCTGGTGGGTGTAGACTCGGTCAAACAGGGACTCTGGTGCCATCCATTTCACAGGTAGCCGGCCCTGGACAGAGGGAAAGGTGTTGGCTGTCAGATGTCCCATGGAGCACTGTACCCCAACCACCCTGAACTGGGGCTCACATTTGTGGTCTTCTTGTAGTATTCCAGGTTGTGCACATCACGAGCCAGGCCAAAGTCTGCAATCTTCATCACATTGTCCTCAGTCACCAGCACGTTTCGGGCAGCCAAGTCTCTGTGAATACACTGAAGAGGCATGAAAGGAACCTAGGCTAAGTTGACATCTCCCTAGCCCAAGCAAGCTTGATACCCACTCTTCCACCCAGAGAGGCCCCACTTGGCCTGTGCCCCACCTCTGTTCACCTTCTGAGAAGCCAGGTACTCCATGCCCCGGGCCACCTGATAGGCACAGGACACTAGATCTTTGCAGGTAAGCTGTTGTTCTGCCAGTCTGGAGGTGTCAGAGTAGTCCATGCCTGGGGGCCTTTGTGCCCGCAGGAACTCCCGTAGGTTGCCCTTGGCTGCATACTCCATCAGCACATACAGTGGCCCTGGAAGTACAGGCACCTCAGAGATGTTGTGTGACTCAGGAGCCCCAATCCAACAGTACACCCATTTGCTGCACATACCGCCCTGTGTGCAGGCCCCCAGCAGGTTGATAATGTTCTTGTGCTTGCCAATAATTTTCATCATCTCCATCTCAGACATCAGAGCCAACAAGTCCTGGTTATTGGCATCATCTGTGTTAAGAGCGGGGGTGTCAGGTGATGGCGTTATCGTCCCCAGATGCCCTGTATTACTTCTCTCCCTTCTTACTTTTCAGCATTTTCACAGCCACGGTGACAGGCTTGGCAGTGCTGTCCATGTTAAGGCCAATAACCTCTGCCATAAAAACCTGGCCAAAGCAGCCTTCTCCCAGAGGATTGCCAAGTGTCAGCCTGGCCAAAGAAGCAGAGGCAGTAAGTATGTGCCCAGTACCCCCAGCCCTCATGGCCCTGTGCCACTGCATCCATAGACAGAGTAACCCCTGAGATCACACCCTGGACCCTACCTCAGGAGTATTTCATCCTACCTCCAACAGGCTTCTGCCTGGTAGCCATCTAGCCCCCAACCACAGAACCCCACCAAGTACATTGTGTCCCTCACCAGCACTAACCGAGTTCTAGATATTTCCCACTTTGGGTCAGCAGGCAGCTCAAGCTCAGAACTATTAGCCATAACAGTATGTTCTCTTGAGAATGGGTAGACGATGTGGACCAGGGGTATGTCAGAGTTCACGGAGGAGTAGGACTCCACGGTCACCTGCTTGGATCATTGGGGATAGGTTGGTGCCACACAATGGGTGCTGGGCATTGGAAAAGAGTTGATGTGGTATAACTCCTAGGAGTGGCAAGGTCAAGTCTATGTGAGACAGAATGTAGGGCCAAGAAGAGGGATGCTCATACAGTGGTTACTGAAGACTCAAAATTGTTTTGCATTTCAGAGTAACTTGGGTTCCATGTGGAGAAGAGAACAGGGAATGATCAGCCCATCTGACTGCAGAGAAAAGTCTCCTGGCAGGCCCCAGGCACTGCTGGAACTCTAGGAGGCTCAAAGCACAACTGAGAGATCAAAATCTGGTATCTATTTTCAGTTACCTGTCGCTCAGGTGTGAATCGAGAACTCCTGTGAACAGCAGGAGGGCCCAGGCCCTTTCTTGCGGCTCTATGCAGGTAGCAGAGTGTCACAGTTGCCGCCATCAAAATTGAGAGGGAGAAGCCCACCCAGAAGATGATGGTGCCCGCGGATAAACTGCCGGCCTCGTTACCCTCTGCTGGCTCTCTCTCAGCTGCAAAGACATGAATGTTGGGGCTTCATGAGGCCTTATGGGATTTCTCATCAGCCTGAACCCCAGGCACCTGTGGGGAAGGGACCCTGAATACTCAGAGCTGGGTGACCTACGTCCCCCACTCACCTGGGTGGTCAAAAACATCTGTGAGTCAGTAGGGGCCAGAGTCAGGAGAGAAGTCTGGCAGAGCCAGAAGCACCCACAACACCCACAAGGCTCCCAGGAGATCCCAGAGCCTCAAGGCAGGACTGTGGAAACCCACCTGGAGGATTGAGGGGGAGGCCTTTGCAAGACCAAGATGGGGCAGGTTGATGTTCCCATACCAGGCACAAGACCAGGGTGATTACCACAGGATGGACTGCAGTTAAGTTGTAAGTGATCCCCTGCTGTCCCTGGCAGCTTTGTTAGTTCTGAGCCAGCACAAGAGGACAGACACAGCAGCAGCAGAAGCAAGTACCTGGCAGCACCTCCAGCCATGCAGAGTGATGGGAAACCCCGAAATAATTGCCTGCCAGGCAGGTGTACTCCCCTGAGTCCTCAAAGGTGATATTGCGCAAGGACAGAACTTCTAGCTCCTTGTCAGCAGTGTTAATGCCTGATGTCTACAAAGAGAGAACAGAGAGCAATAGGCAAGCACCAGCACCTCCCTTTGGGTACCATAGCACAGTCCACATGGAGATGATGCAGTCAGGCTTCAAGGGAAATGTCACCTTTGCCACCACCACAGCCCTGCCACAGTCATGGAGGCTCAGGGCCCTCTGTATCCTGTACCAAGCCACTGAACCTGAAGTCAGTCTCTCACTTGGTGGGCAATTCCCTGTCCAAGGTGAGCAACAGGCAGGTGGGGAGAGCATGGTGCCACAAAGAGGCAACATGCAGAGTTAGAGCAGAAATAGGAGATGTGCAGAAGGAAAGATGAGCAGACACATGTATGGACAGGAAGCCAGAGGCATCAGTGTCAGCCAGAGACCGGTAGAAAGTCGCTGTTCTCAAACAGCACGGGGCTCAACCCCTGGCAGGTTCTAAGGACCTTCTAAGCATGCAAGTGGAGTATGCAAGAGGACACACAGGCCTGAGGGGCTTTGAAGGAGGAAGTCAGTCAGTGCTGGCTGGGAGCTATCAAGGCGTCACAAGTAGAATGTGAGCCACAGGTGGGGTCAAGCAGGAAAGGGGTGGCGCAAGGCATTGGGAAGGTACACAGCTGGGGCCCTGGAGCTGGAGCTTAGCGAGCCAGGTAGGCACAGAACAGTCATCACCTGCTTGAGGCCTGTGAACATGCAGCCAAAATGCCTTCTCAGCCATGCCTATGAAATTGATGGCTCGGCAGAGGTACTTGCCCCTATCCCACTCCGACACATTGGCTGGATGGAGTTGTGCATCTGCCTCCGGAGTCTCACTGATCCAGGACAGTGGGGACATCCCAAGCCAGCTCCAGAAGAACATGAGGACAAGGCAGGACAAGGGAGATCCCAAAGAATGGGCTGGGGACCGGGCAGCAACACCTGGAAGGCTGCCTGAAGGGAGGGACATAATGGCAGTGATAGCTGTGGTTTCACAGACTGGCCTCCTCCATGTCCACCCTACACACACACACACACACACACACACACACACACACAGAGTGGGCATCACACTGGACATGGCTCTAGTGGCCTCTCTCAATATCCAGGATTCCAGCTCCTGCCAACACCTGTTCCTCTCCCCAACTAGATTTCCTTGTCTCTCAACAAATGTTTTTCTTTGGGCTTCCAGTGCTGCAAAGTCTGAATTCTCAAGTGGCCCCAACCTGCGGCCATGGAACAAAGCTACAGGCAGAGGGAGGCAGGACAGAGGCAGTGAAGGCAGAATGTGGCCAGTGCTTCAGTGCAGGCAGCTGGGGAGTGGGTAGCCTGTCTTCTAGGGTCCACAGGGTACTAGCTCAGCAGACATCCTCCTGCCCTGAGCCACCACAACTGTTACTCAAGAGACACCTTCTGCAGGCCCAGTCCTCGGAGCAGACGGGGAAACAAGTCCCATGGCAGGGCACAAGTAACACAGAGCCTGCCTGGAGCTCAGAGTAGGTGATAAGCACTGGGACCCATCTGCACCTTCTCAGAAGCTCCAACACCTGGGCCTAAGACCCAAGGTATCCCTCAGCCAAAGAGGGACTTATGGACCAGGGCCAAGGCACTCCCAGATAACCCATCCACCCAACCACCTGCCAACAGCAGAGCCCACCTTGAGTACGGTGACATGGGGCTTGCCATCAGGGCCCATCTTGCTGCCATTCACCTCAACATGCTTCAGCCACTGGATGTGTGGTTGGGCATCACTATACACCTTGCAGCGGAACTCTACGTCACTGCCTAGAGTGGCTGTCTGGTTCGCTGGCAGCCCAACATGCAGGATGGGCCGATGTGGGAAGCGCTCTGTAAGACACAGCTAGGTCAGGTGCAGTGGGTCAAAGGGCCCAAGGCAGACCTGCCTTAATCACCCAGCCTGACCCTCACCCAGCACATCCAGTGTGTAAGTCTGCTGAATGCTGCCAAACTCGTTCTGTACCACGCAGGTGTAGTTGCCACTATCAGAAGGCACCGCACTCTCCATGACCAGGCTCCAGTGCTGGTGCCTAAGCTGCAGGTAAAGTTAGTAGGTGAGTGGACACAGGCTATACCCTCTGTATCCAGGCCCTACCCATCTGTGACCGTTTCCCAGACCCACCTTGATGCCCCCTATGCGATGCTCCCCTCGGAATTCCTTGCCATTCTTCAGCCAGGAGATGGAGGGGGTGGGGTTGCCGGCGGCTGCACAGTGGAAGCGTACAGTGCTGGTGGCTGGCACAGCCAGCAGTTTCATATCCATACGGTCCGGTCGAGTCCAGTAAGGGGCCCCTGATGACGAAGTGCTCATAATAGCATAATTGTGCATCCTTGCAAAGCTGTCCTACCTACCCACCCTCTAGCCTTATTCCTCATCTGTATTGAGGTTCTTTTGCTTTGCCTGAACACTTTATCCATAGCTGCCCTACTCTCAGACTTGGGCATGTCCTCTTCTCTCCCGCTGAAGCAGGTCCACAGGTACAGGTACCCAGGAGGTAGAACCCAGTAGGATGTAGATCCTGGGAGGTAACCAAGTCAGGTCATTCCACCAGTGTGGCAAACTTGAGCTAGCCTCTGCAGTGCCCAGGGCCTGGTAGGGATCCTTCATTTCATGCTTCCCCTGCACTGAGTTCCCTCCTTCCTCTTTGCTGGGTGGAAGACGCTGTTGTGCAATATTAGTTGAAGATGTGTTACATTTGTTTATACTGTGAAATATTTGTTTAATGATGCAGAGATGTGCTGCATTCTTTTATGTTGCATTTAGCTCTGTGAAGTTGTGTTACTTTGCCTAAAACACCCGATTGGTCTACTAAAGAGCTGAATGGCCAATAGCTGGGCAGGAGAGAGAAATAGGTGGGGCTGGCAAGCAGAGAATAAATAGAATGAGAAAGATCAAGAAGGAACAAGAAAGGGAGGAGAGGAGGATGCAAGGGGCCAGCCACCCAGCTACACAGCCAGCCACGGAATAAGAAGTAAAGAAAGGTATACAGAATAGAGAAAGAGAAAAGCCCAGGGGCAGAAGGTAAATGGGATAATTTAGGAAAAGCTGGATAGAAATAAGCCAAGCTAAAGCCAGGTAATCATAAGTAAGATGAAGTTTCTGTGTTTATTTAGGAGCTGGATAGCAGGCCCCCAAAGAGTAGAGTAAAAACAACCAACAACAGGATGCCATATTGCTGGGACTCATGAGGAAGCTGAGGGAGACAGCAGATTTCCGGAACAGAGAAGGGAAGCTGGGGCAGGGCCTTCCACAGCAACTCAACCGCAGGGCCCTATGAATCTCTAGGAGGAGGAACCGCCATACAAAGTAGGAGAAAAGTGTGCAGACACTGGTGAGGGGCCTCTCCTAGCTCTGAGCTGCCCTCCCAGGCTCCAAGTGTGGCCAATGGGCTTGACAGAAGACAGCCACACTGGGAGACTTCAGTAACTTAATGCTGCCCACTGCCAGGCAAGGTCAAGAAAGACACCCATCTGGCACCTTACCTAAGCCTATGTGGGGCATAAATACTAAATACAACCAACAGGAACTTAGGGTAAAGGCACTGGTAATGTGGTTGGGGCAGGAGCTATAGAGCAACTGGGTTAGAAATTTTGCTCTGAACAACCCGGTAGCCAAAGGGAAAGGGGAAACAAGAAGCCAACCCACTTCTCAGGACTACTACCCTTTGTTGGCTTCAGTCCTAGAATCCAAGTCCATTTCCATGGGGGTTCCACTCTGAAATCTCATACAAGCCTTTATACCTGCTTTCCTCACCCACACACACTCATAAATTCATTACCCTCTTTTCCCAATAATTTTGTCTCTGATTCCTCTCAATACCTGTCCCACTATACCCCAGAAAGCCCCAGATGGTCTGAGTATTCAGTCAACACCAGCCTAATCTCAGAGTTATAGCCTACTCCACATACAATATCTGGACCCACGATGGCCTTCATGTACACACATACATTCTCTCTCTCCTACCATAGTTCTAGGCCATAATATGGGCACTGCCATCCATGTGCCCTCATTACTCACACCCAATCTGTGATGCCCCCTTTATGACACAAGCCTCAGCATGGTACTCCTCCCCTCTTGCTGGCCTGAAGTAGACACTAGTCCCCTTAATCCTTGCATCTACTTACTCATCAGTGGCAACCTCAGCTCCCTGCCTGGCTTACTGGCACTTGTGATGCTCCTTCCCACCAGAGTCCATACCAAAATTCCTGCAGAGCTGCCCTGCCCTCTCACTGCTCCTGGAGCACTGCCCCCTGTCACAGTGTCCTCTAACAACCAGCCTACAGGAAGGAAGCAGCCTGACCCCGACCTGCTCAGTGTGCCTAGGCTCTGATCTCACCTGTGTCATCAGCCACATCCTCCCCATCTTCATCATCTCCTAAGGCTGGAGCATCTGCAACAGTTATAAGCAAGCAGTGGTCCTGTGACACTGCCACATCCAGAGATCTGCTGCTCCCTATTTTTGGAGTCCACTGCTTTCTACCTTCAGGGCCCACTGTTCCCTGCCTTTGGGATCCTTCCTTTGCAACACCACTCCTTCAGACAGCACAACCTTGGGGGTATCTCCTACTCTCTATCTACAGCCAACAACACTCTTGAGCCAGAGATATTCCAGCCACCCTGCCTAGGACTGCCCTGACCTCCCTGGCCATGCAGCTGCTCAACATATTTGACAGCCTCAGCCACCAAGCACTTACCTGTCACATGCACAGTGAAACGGCACCTCATACCCCGAGTGAGCTGCTGATGACACATGTAGACCCCCGCATCCTCACTGGAGGCATTCAGCACTTGTAGCCTCTGGGGCCCCACCAGGATGCGGTGGGAGGCTACCAGCCTTGTGCCATCTTTAGACCAGACAGTGCAGCCTGTGGAGGCTCCTCCAGGCAGAGAGCAGATCAGATCCACGGTGTCCCCACTGCCAAAGGCCACCTGCTCCTGCTGGAGAGGCTCAGGCTCTGGGACCTCTGTGGATGAATTGGAAAGCTGTGAAAGAGTCTCCAAAGCAGCATGTGAAAGCCTACACTTTACTTTGCAAACACACTAGCAAAGGTTGTGGCAGGCAAGTGAGGGGCATGCTCCTAGGGCTTGGGGTCTGGCCAGACAACGTTCAAACCAAGAGTGGGCAAACTATTTCAGTAAGAGTCCAGTGACATCCGCATCTCAGCTCTGTCAATGGTCTGTGCTAAGGCTTCTGGCTCTGTCCTGCAGGAGGAAGCTGTCTTCTGCCTCGACCCACACAGCTGGAGCACGAAATCTGGCGAGGGATGCCGAGGTTAAACAGCACTCAGGACACCCAGTCTCCGTTCATTAGCGAAGCTCTCTTTGTTCACACAAACATGAGCTTATATACCCCTCTAACAGCAGGGGTCAAGGAACGGTTACTCTGTATCTGGAAGCAAGCCGGACACTGTTTTCCAAACAGGAAAAACCAGGGGGGAACTGATCCCCAGCACTTTCAAGAACCCAACTGCACATTTTCACACAAACAACTTATGCAAACACAGGATAACTGGGACAGGACAAAAAAGGGCATTTAAGATTAAGGCAGCAAACTTATTGCTGCCGACAGTCTTCCAAAGATGATACAGAAGCACAGCAGCCCTCCCAGTAGCTGAAAGATCTCAAAGTGTCATGAAGGGTGGGGGCAGTTCTATGGTACATCACCTGCCTGGAATATCTGAAGCCTTAAGCTCATTCCCAGCACCAGCAAAAAAGTCCCACATTTTTCTTCCTCTGATCCTTCCACTCTTTGGAAATGTACAACCAATCCTTAGCTCACAGGAAGGCACAAAAACAAGTGAGAGACAGGCTGTCATTCTCTGGCCTCTGGATCAAAGCTCAGAGAAGGATAGGGAGCCCTTTCACAGCCTTCTTAGCACCCAACCCACATCTTATTCCAACACAGTTTGATGGAGAGGAAGCAGACATCTGAGTGTGGTGACTCATACACTCAGAAGCCTGAGTCAGAAGGATTGACATGAGCTCACGGCTAGCCTGGGCTAGTGTGAGACTGTATCATAAACAAAATAAAAATAAATGAAAAGAGGGAAGAATGCTGGGTGGTGTTGCATACCTTTAAACCAAGCACTCAGGAGGCAGAGGCACGTGAATCTCTGGATCTGAAGCCAGCCTGATCTACAGAGTGAGTTCCAGAACAGCCAGAAGTACACAGAGAAACCCTGTCTTGAAAAACAAAAATAAAAACAAAGAAACAAACACACAAAAATAAAAAAAGAAAGAAAGAAAAGAGGGAAGACACAGGGTCATTCAAGAATGTGATTGGACAGCACTTGCTTGCATACACCACAAGAGTTCTATTCACAGTAGGTACACACTTCCACCAGCAGCAGAAGTATACCAGTTGGGGGGCCTTGGACTGAGGCAGTCTGTGACTTGCAGCTTATATGCCCAATAGATACAACAGCCAGTTAGGAAAATAGGACAGGCAAATATTAAGGACAGCAGTCTGGATATTACTCAGGTCAGCAGTCTAGGGGGGTCCATACGAGCTCATGGGGTGTCTGAGGACCTGGGGCCCCCATTTCACAAATGAGGACCATGCTTTTGCCAGGGGACATCAGAGTGGCCATGTGAGCCAATTGGAGCTAGAATCACAGCCAAGTGGAGATAGCCACCTATCCTGAGGGTTAAGAAACTGGAGTAGTGTAGCCCCCCGGGTGGTTAGACACAGGTGGCCATACACCTCTCCCCTACTCAGATGGTGTCCAGCTTATGAGGAGACCCAAAGGCCTCACACTTAGGGATACACCACCAGCTGGCAATCACACCCAGACCTCCCTGCTAGAACCCAACAATGCCCATCACAGGGGCAGTTTGGCTCAGGGCCCAGGACAGGAGCAGGTAGTCCTGCTGATCAGACCTCCTTCCTTAGATACAGATGGACTGGTTACAATGTCACTTGTCATTCTGTGGATGCATAGCCTAGATTCAATGCCCACTCAGGCCACACCAATCCCAGCTGTGCCTATCCCAGAGTCATCCCACAGATCCAAAGTACACCAGGATTCTGACAGCCAGAGGGACTGTCCCCAATGTGGGACTCCATGAAGTCCCACATAGCCACAGCTTTCAGCTTGTCCCTGGGTGGACCTCACAGCAAGGGCCCTTCTAGCCAGCTCTCCAATCCTGCTGCCATGTCCTATGTGGGCCATCGAAGGCTGGAAGATGCCGGAGGCATCACAGAAGACCAACAACAGTCTAGTCAGTAGCCTCAGTGCAACTGTGGCCCTAAGGCAACAGCCAGTTAGTTCTGGTTTAGTCTGGGCAAGACAAAAAGGTCAAGCTATTCACACAAGTACCCAGATCAGGAGAGTGACTAGGAAAGACACAGCATCCCCTAGGCCAGCCCCATGGAGAGCCAGATTGCTGGAGATATGGAGTAGGGACGGGAAATGGCCCTGAATCAGCTGAGCTGACATTTGATCTGTCTACCAGGAGCCAGCACAGCCCAGACACCTAGACTTTGGGGGACTCAGGCAACAGCAGATCCAACCCTGTGATCCCATTCTAGGGTCACAGGGCCTAAAGCATTTGTGTCATGAGTCATGCAGGTAACAAGAGAAGGACAGTGTAGGATGGGGCTTGAGACAACACAGAATATGGTACACCCTGAGGAGGTAGTGTCAGATCACAGGCTAATAGAAGGCTCACACCCCCATCAGCCTTCAGAGAATCACAAAACACAGATATTTTAGATTACAATTCATAACACTAGCAAAATTACAGTTAAGAAATAGCAATGAAAATAGTTTTATGGTTGGGGTCACCACAACATGAAGAAATGTATTAAAGGGTCGTAGCATTGGGAAGCTCTTGAACCACTGTAGCTATTATTTCCCCCTACTGAGCACACAAACCCAGCTTGCCCTACCTACCAGGGGTGGCCAGTGTGGCTGGGGCCTAGCCCTGCCCCACAGCCCTCAGGTCCAGCCAGCTCTTGCTTGGTAATTTATGCTCCCAGACAGAGTGCCAGCCATGTCTATATTTTCACTACAAGGCCCATCTAGTTAAGGAAAAGGATTAAATTTTTTGGCCTGTCAACTCCCTGGGTGGGAAAGAGCTGGTGCATGTCCCACCAGTCCACCTTCACTGCCTGGAGCACAGAGTCTACATCCCCTTTTACCTGAGATCACTGACACTAGACACAGGGAGCAATGTCTTCGCCTAATATTAATATGGTCCCTAATCAATGGCCATTTGGCTCCTGAGGAAGCACCTCCATGCAAGCTGATGCTCAGAGTGTGCTGACTGCTGACCTCCTGACAGCTGCTGTCATGCCAGCCGAATGACACACACACTCAACCTTCCAGCACACTTCCATTAATTAAAAAAAGAAAAGAAAAAAAGTTCCAGGAGCCGCAGCTACTGAGGAAGGAAGAGTATTAGGGGAGCTGGGAGAACCAAGCTGCCTCATCTAGCAGGTACTGCAGCCCTACTCAGACCTCCCGGGGAGGCTGAGCTGCCATAGATGCAGGCAGTGGGGGGCTGGGGGAGGCAGCAGGGAGCTGAGCCACCAGGGTACAAACACCAAGGTTCAAAGGAATGGCTGTTGGGACACCTGCTCCGTGGGCAACAGCTCACCATTCTTGGTGTGGCACCATCAGCCCATTGGCCCGCATTGCCATGCTGGAGCCAGGCATAGGGGAGCAGAGGTTAGGGAGAGCCTGTACACACATATTTACCTAAGGGGGGGGGTCAAGCATCACACTCGGGCCTAGTTTGATGGAATTCAGTGTCCCATCAGATCTTGCTGGCCAGCCAGGCTGCATAGCTGATGCTGGATTCTTGGGACACCTGCCCCTCACCTCCCAGAGTGTGGTCTACAGAGATGTGCCTCTGAGAGACCACCCTTCAAGACACCTATAGGCAAAGAGAGGAGTGGAGGCCCTGAAGCTGTCACCTTGTCTTGTGAGACACTGGGTGACAGAAACTAAGCTTTGGTCAGGGTACTACTGCCCACCCCCAAACTCTAGCCTTCATTTTGGCTGAAGCTGAGCAAGAACTGTCCTGGAGGCCTTGGAAACCAACAAAAGACACTTCTGGTCAACAATGGGAATTATGGAACTCAGCAAATGGCCCTCCTGAATGCTTAGGCTGAGGAACTCAGTGGCTCCCTGCACTGTGAACCACTCCCTGGGGTGCCTCCCACTTGGGTAGTGGCACCAAGGCCCCAGACACCTCATACACTACCACATCGCAATCTGTTGGTTTGGGGGTTAAACCAAACTCGCTGTTCCCCATGGTGCTACTCAACCTAACAACTCCTACTCACTCAAGGGCTGTTTGCCATTCCCAAAGCCTCTGTGGCCACCACCATACCCCCAACACATCCCACCCTGCTGCCAGGAATCTTGAGTCAGTCCATACCTGCTTCTCCCCTTACAAGCTCTGTGCTAGGAGGCCGGGAGGCAGCTCTGGCCCCAACCACTATGCACAGCACTGGCAAGCAGGCCAAGGCTCCCATGACTGGAGATGGTAGTGGAATTCTCAAGTACCGGGTGTGAGCATGTTATATACCCAAGGCCTGGCTCCTTGGCCAATGGGAGGGTTCCACTCTGGAGTCTGTGGGAGGAGAGTCCTGTGTTTACCTGAGCAAGCAGTAGGGGGTCGGGGAGCACAAGTACCTGCCCCAGGGCACCAGACCATCCCACCTTCTGTGGTCCCTCCCTCCTCTTTCCCTCCCTGGCTACAGAGCCCTCCTAGCTGGCAAATGTATTTTCCCTAAGTTTTTTTTTGTTTAAACCACAACTGGTAAAATTAAGGGAAATTTAATTATGGTGTTTGGGATCCATTTACTCTTAAACCCTCTCCTCAGTTTTTCTAGTATGTTTGTGTAGTTAGTTAAGCAGGCTTTGGAAGACTTTTAACTGAATGTTTCATTGTATTCTTTTAGTCCTCCCAACCCACAGGACTAGACTTCCTGACAAGAATAAACAAGTTGTTACTCTGCAAACTCCTCCAAAACTAGGAATCCAGGATCCAGGGCCCAACAGC